TTTCAATCATTATTAGGAACTTCAAATCATTCAAATGTATCCTCATGACTTTACAAATACTCGTCCTGATATATTCTCGAGAAAAAGGAGCAAGAAAGCCAATATTAATAATAACATGTGTTGTTAAATAGTCCAACGCACACTTTTCACGGCCTTAATGGTTTTCGAAGAGGCACGAACGACCTACCGAGGGAAAATGCATCAGTTCTTGGTTCTTTTCAAAATGTGTCAGAAAATGGCTGTCAAGCAATACTGAAAGATCTAAATGATCTGAAGTGCACAATGACGAACAAAGTTCTAGTAGATATAGAAAGTAACACTGTATTGTTTTTGACATAGAAAAAGCCTAATGTTTTTCTTTTTGTAGCTACAAATCCTGCTTTTGCTACGTTGTTGATTAACTTGATCTTTAAGAACAAAGTGTTCCTAGGCTCCCATTTGAAATAAAAAATATTAGATTCAGCTTGAATAATAGTGCATTGAAATGCATTTAATAAGTCACAATGACTTTTGGCACATTTTATTCGCTGATCACTTTTAGTCATATCGATATCCTTCATATGAAGAAAAATTAGTTTACGTGGAATAGAAGAATAGTTGCAATGGTTTATTCAAAAAAAACTGCATGAAATCATTTTCGGTCGTGAGAAGTGCTTTTAGCTCTGCCTTGCTATATTCACATTAGATTAGGCGTAAGATTTTTATGTAGATGCTAATTATCCAATAGAAAAGTTAACGTTGCCGTAAAATTTTCCACTATGGTTCAAATTTTGACATGAATAAATCCAAAAATGCATTTAAAATATAGCAAACATTATAAAAAGTAGAAAATAGCTCCTTTTTTGTTCCATCTCTCATCATTGCCTAGGAAAAAATTTTGAGCCTCCCCTAAGTTAAAATCGTTCCGTCGCCCATGGTACTCTCTATGCTTGTCATTAAATGATTTTCTATTATTATATGATATTTACCTTTCAAACGTTGTGAGCGCTGTAGTTGAAAGAGATCCTGACAACAGCATTCGATTCTTTTGTAAGTTGCATGCATACATTTTCGAGTTGAGCATCATATTATCTCATCATTTCGTGTGTTTTTGTTTCCGTTGTGCGGCTGAGTAGAGATGTTGGTGTGGTGTGGGTGCAGATGTGGATGTTGCTGACGAACATGGTTTGGCTGTGTGGTGTGAATGTTTGTGACTCAAGAGAACTCGGATACCCAAATCCATGTCGACACTCGTATCAACTCCCACACTCATCTACACGCACATCCTATACACACGCACACACCGGCATCACTCCTATACCCAAGTGCAACAATGTTTTAAATGAGAGTTATCATTAACCCTTAAAAGCCGAAGTGGCTTTCGCTTAAAAAATGAGAATCTAATTAGAAAAACAGAGATTATGGACCCTCAGTATACTCGTAGTACAGTTAAAAATAATTACCTTCTTCTTATTCTGGACCTATACAACCTCCTTTGGCAGGAATATCCATCCCTGTAAAAATTCGAAAAAATAGGAATTTCGATCTGAAACTTTGCCTTTAGATAGTTTTGATAATACTTAATATGCTCCGAAATTTTCACTTAGAACGGATGTGTTCTTGCTCAGATATTCGAAATCCAAAAACCAGCTAAATTTTGCTAAAAATTGCTAAAAACTTCAATATTCTGTATCTCGCGAAAGAAACAACAGTTGTTCCTGAAAATTTTGAAAATTCCTAATCACTACTAGGGCTATGTATGAGCCAAGTTTTATGTTAGAAATACATTGTTTTGATTCTTCTATGAGGCTGAATGTCTTACCAAAGGAATTTTTTATTGATCACGGCACAATCTGTCAGTAGATCAGTTAAAGGATTCTAGAACGCTGACATTGAATAGCTTGGTGATAAGCTTAAGAGTGTAACGTAAAATAAACTACACTGTATGTCGCATCTCCGAATGGATACAACTTTAGGGAAGAAAGGTGTTATTGAAAAAAGTCATCAGACCAAAAAGGTGTTTTGCTACGCCTGACAGCCACCTGAATACTACATTTTGGTCTAGGTATGGCCTCGAAAGTCATATCAATCCAGAAAAATATTGGTTTTTGTCTACAACATTTTTATAAGACTTTGTTTACAATTATTTAAATGTCCCTTGGAAGGGACATTCGGCTCTTAAGGGTTAACGAAAAACTATTAATGCTGGACGTCTTTCTACTCGTCCAAGTGCAAAAACACACTTGCTCTGAGTTCATGTAAAACCAGAAAAATCCTGTATATGTTACTAGCTGTAACCATTTTGATTTTTTTTTTAGACTTCGCACATCATAGCGTATTTAATAAAACTTTTATACCTAAAGCAAAGTGATGGAATTCTTTGAATCGAAAACTCATAGGAATACAAAATTCGAAAGTTCAAAGATTTTAACAAAGTCTAGAAACATAAGACGTGAAGAAATATAAAACTGGACAGACTTAGAATGTGGGTAGTTAGAATCTTCAATGTTTCGATTATCAGATCTTTGCATTCTGAATTTTTGCTAGCTTCTGTTTTGAAGAAAGAGATTACATTTTAAATACAGGCAACAGCCCTCATGAAAATGAGCTTCTTCAGTCAAAATCAAGTTATCATATTCATAAACAAGTGATTGTCAATAGATTTATAGCATAAACATTCAAGATTTAGTTTTGCAGCCGAATTTATAATTTTTCAATACACTGTTATTATCTTTTACAACAAAATAAACACCATGTAAACGATATAGATTATAAATACCTATGGCATGATATTTTGGCGAATATAATCACGAAAAAATACAGTTGTAAACAATATGGAGGTTGATAAGGCGAAACACAATCTTCTACGATTGTACATAACGCTGTCATTGTTCGTATATGGTCATATAGATAGGGATGCATCGAAACTCTAATACTAGAAATGAAAGAAAAAATGAATTCTTTCAACAATGACGAAAAGTAATGCGTAATTTTTCTTTCCTTTTTTTCCAGAAGAAATTACGGAATAACATTTAATAATAACAGCAAGATATATGTTATTTCATACCTTCGTATAGAAAGGCAAGAAAAATTGCGTATAACGTTCGTTACAGTCGTAAGAACTTTGCTTCAATCTCTTCCGTTTCTAACGTTACAGTTTCTGCTTATCACTACATACACAGGTATGACCGCCAAAACATTGCACTTGTGTTACTTGGAATTTTCTAATTTTTCGAAAAAACTATTTTTATTATCGTTCTGCGACTGTATAGGAAGCAATAAAGTACAAATGACACATAACTTGCATCGTGTGGGCAGTAAAAGGAAGTATTCATATTCTGTACTAGACAACGAAATAAGTGTTTGAGTAATAGTAGAAGGAAGAGAAATGTTATTCATACACCCACAACGATAGAATAAATAATATTTTTTTCTATTTAAACTTATTCACCCGAAGTGAAGTGCTTGGAAGTTTCCAATGCAATAGAGGAAGAGCATTTGTTGGAAAGATGTGAGAAAAAACCTTGAAAATCAACCTTAAAAAGTGCAATTCAATCATGCTTTATATTTCAATTATTAATTGTTTCTTTCATCGTAAAAGTGGTTCTAGAATGGTCAAATACAATCTTATGAATTTACTGTCATTCGCGTCTAAGACTCCAACGCATTATCAATCTGTCCTATATAATTTTCATCGCTCAATCTTTACGTTTTGTTGTCCTATCATCAAGACTCTAAGAATACCACAAAATTATATTGGTAAGTATGACCGAGACACAACAATTTTTGTAAAGCACGGTAATAGAAAACGGTGGGTATAAGCTAAGTAATGAAGAGTCGACAATATACATTGTACATCATGTGAATGCATATGCATTCAATATATTAATTGTATTGAATTGAAAGACATATTCCTTTACAAGAAATTCCATAACCATTGTCAATTCTTAAACTTTTTGTGTGCTCAATGCAAGATTATTGTTTTTTTTTCTCAAACAACTGTTTTATTCAATAATATCATAAAATGAACTTCATATCGATTTAATCACCTTCGAACGCAAAGCATCAAAAATTGATCAACGTTTGGAAAAATCATTATAAAGGAACCCTATTTGTGATCTCTTGAAAAGGTACTCGTAGGAGAGCGGAGAAATAGAAAAAAAGATGCAGCATGAGATTCATTAGGGACAAACGATTAACTTTGAACTTTGCCATAGAGGTAGTTCGTAGCCACCAGTATTTCTAAAGGTAATGCAAAATAGGTATGCATTGATGACTTCAGCAATTAAGCTCTACAATTTAGACAATACATTTTAATTGATTAATTCACATTCCCAATTGTGTTTATTGGATGGAAGAAAATGAGTTTATTTATAAGAGAGAACATGTACTACATAAGAAATGAAAAATTTTCTCTGATACTTGTAGCTGATAGAAGAGGACTCAGCCATTTTTTCTGATTTTAGTAGTTAGATAGTTTGAAACACTAGCGTTTGCTTTTGAAAATTACGTTGAAGTTTGGTCAAATCCCGAAAACCATTAATGTAAGGAACCGGTAGTTACGGTAATGCATGGCAATTCGTTGTTTATTCCGATGTATCAACACTTCCCATTGATAAACAAAATGTTTTAGATCTCCTTAAAAATGATAAGCAAAAGAAAAATATCCTTTTCACTTAGTTACTCATTCGATAATGGGAAATCTGTATTAATATTTCTCAATATCCGAAATAACTTCTACTATTCTGCGATCCCGAATAAATGCGAAATTCAAGTAGTTTTAGAATTCATTATCTTGTTTACTTTAGTTGTTGCTAAATGTTGTCATGGAAGTACTTACTCATCAGTTTCTAAACTTTTGTATAGGCTCTCCACTTGGATATAGTATTGAAAGGAAAAATGTGTCAACCAATTTTTCAGGGAACTCTAATATATTGATTAAACCGTATTGTACGCATGACGAGTTGGATAAGTGTGTTACTCTTCAAAAGTTGGTATGGAAGCAAAGCAATCTCGAAATAATGCCTCGTCGATCTTTTCTCATTGCTATTAATACAGGTGGAATCGTATTAGGTGCTTATAGATATCATAATAATTTGCCTGTTCTGCTTGGCTTCATATTATCATTTGCGGGTATTTCCCCGGATAAGAATGTAGGCGTTTACTGGCATGCCGAGATGTTAGGAATTCATCCGGACATACGCAACCAACATATTGGCCAACGATTGCTACTAGAATTACGCGATTATGCACTATCCAGAAACATAAAGTTAATCAAATATAATTTTGATCCGACTGAGACACGAAATGCTCATATCTACATTAGCCGAACGGGTAGTATCGGACGAAAATATTCGTCTAACCATTATGGTTCGTTCTCATCTTCAGGAAATCCGAGTCCATTTGCAGGTCGACTTCATATGGAATGTTGGCTTGATTCTCCACACACTCGCCGATGTCTGGGCCTGGAAATACCAAGTGAACGTGCTATTCCCAGACCAAAGATCATTGATGAAGTGGCAGTTCCATCCAATATGGAAGAATGGAAACGCACGAAAGATGTACGTGCTATCAATGCTTACAACGTAATTGATAAAAATCTATCGGCAGCCTTTGATCGCGGACTCAATGTTCTGGGATTCCGTATTGAGCCTGACGGTACCTCAGTTTACGAGCTTGGAGTTTTTAACGCAAATGACTCATGGTGGTGTCACAATCTGTTGCTATTTAATCTTTTATCCAAAGAAACACCGTATCATTATTCGATTAATGGTTTGCCAATGTCGACTTGAAGTGAGAACATGTATCATTGTCGACGAAAAACTATTTTGTACGAAATAGTGTTCCAACACCAAATGTGTACAAAAAAAATCTTATTTTGAGTTTAAACACATCGATTCATATTTGTAACGCGTTTGTTTTTATGAGATCGAATGCGTTTATTTGTCATGCACTTAAATAGGTTTTTTAGCATTCATCGACTGAAAAAACCAATTCTTCACAAAATCACTCTGTTTTATGAGTTTTTTATTCAACAAGTCAAATGTATATATAAATTCGTAATTAAAAAAAGATGTTGTTTCATGCAGAAGGGATCTACTACCATCTAGAAAAAAACTTCACACTATCATACTCAAAATATATTGGTTTAATAGATCTCTTTCAGAAATAATAAAATTTTAGGATGATAATGCAACAACATGCAGTTGAATATTATATCAGAAAGGAATAGCTGTGTAACAAAAAGAACAAGTGTAGAGAAATAAAATCAAGTGTAAATTGACTAAAATTTGTTTACGATCTTCACAGTATTCTACGCACAGTTAATACCGCCTTCTTTTTCCTTATTGAGTTTTTGAATAGGCTGCCGGTGAATATTAGTTACCTTGTTGGCAATAAAAGCTCGTATATATAAATAACCTAATCATTTGACAAATAATACACCTTAATGTGAATCCATTTTTCGTTCTCTTTTAGCACAATTTGCGAGTAATACTGCTAACGATCATATGATCTTATATTCTTCTCTTCTCCTATTTCGTCTCTTTACTTATCTTCGTATCTGCTTTTCTTTCAACAATCAGGCTGCTATACTGTCAAAATGTTTCCTCTATTTCTCTTCCTTGTATAGTTCTTATCTCTAATTGATGAACTTGTATTATCACGATGATGTTAAGGGAAAAAACAAAGACATACATTATTGTCACCGACATTAGGTAGTTGGTAAATCTCTAATACAATACCAAAGACCATAAGTTTTGTTTGTTGTTATTCTTGATTCTTTTTTCTTAGTATTCATCGTTCATTAAATGATTCTTGATTTACTGGTGTTCGTTGTATTGTCCTTATCTATATCGCTCAGCATTTAGATCTAGTGGTTTATGCTTAAAACTTCTTCTATCGTAAACAATTATTTGAACAAGAAGTAGAACGATTATCTCTTATTGAATTTGAAACTCTTGATTATAAAAAAGAAAACTTCTCTTATGCATACTGTTGATTGTCCACTCTTTTTATCAGGTTTGAAAAGACAAGTCATGAATACGTTACCAAAAGTAAAAATTAAAACATTCTCTGAATTTTGTAGTACTTCTAATGAAGACGTAATCAATCGAGTACAAATACAACCATCAAATACATATAGTGTTCTACAGTCCGATTGAACTACTGTTGCTGCCAAATGTTTTTCTTTATAATAATTATACTGTTCTTGATTGATCTACATCTACATTCAAAATCGAGATTGTTAACGTGTATCAACTATGGCTTTATTAAACATCATTGAAAATGAAAAAAAGCGACAACATTTATCCGATTAATCTATTGTGGACTATTACTATGATAAACTCCATTAATGTATATAACCTGATCTGACCCTAAGCTTGACTATAATTATTCATCATTTGGACGAATGCTTGAAATATTCAGTATTATCGCATGTAAGTCGTTAACATCATTCTAGAACACCTATTGATTTTTTGCTATTTCTAAGATGAAGAGAAAGTACAGATTACGTTGAATGGTTTATCGAACGTGTCCAATAATCCGGTGAATTCTTATCCGATTGCTGATGATTCTATTGATGAAATAATCCCCATCATGAATAAACCAAATAATATCAATACACGTTCTTTTAGTTTTAACCTACACAAATCATTTTCACGAACTGTTATGTCTACCTCATCAGCTTATCATTATTCTTCATTGCTCAATCGTCGTTATTCTTATCAAAATTCATTTTCATCATTAGTTTTATGTTAATGCCATACATATTGCCAAATATTGTCTTAATCAAAAATGAAAAGCTGATTGCAATGAAAGCAATCTTTGCCAATCACTTATAATTATTGACCATCAAGAGTTGTCTGAAACACGTCTTTCTATAGACTGATCGTTTTGAATTATTGATGCTCTTATCTTATGATGTCAAAGCTAACTGAGGAAAGTTGTAGTCATCGTTCAATTATATTCACGGTTCTTCAATTGTTGATTAATATGCGAGGGACCAATATTCGACAAATAATTCAAAAAGGGTATCCATGATAGACACGAACACACCCAAAACCGGGGACTGATATCCGCTATAAATCGAGTGTGTCAAGCTGTTTTCACGAACACAGATTTCTTTTGTCAGTGAGTATCTCGATCTGACTTAGGTACATACTCAAAATATAAGGTTTACATATGGTAGCGTAAGAACAATAGCAAGGACTGTATTTTTTTATTTTCAAGGTTTGTACTTGGGTTTTGTATATAACTCTTGTGAGCGTGTTTAGTCAGTCTTGATTATACATTATCGTCTTTGTAAGTATAGTAGACAAGAATGAAAGCTAGAGAGAGAGTCAGAGTCTTAGTTAGGGTGAGTACAAGAGTAACGAAAAAAAAAAGGATAGAATTATTTTGTTACTGTTGCAGCATTTATTTTATTGTAACTACAATGACAAACTGGAGGAATAGTGTTACTCCTATCCTCAATGTATGATGTTCACTTCACTACTTCATCACCCAGTTGCATTGCTTTTTTTGTTTTGCGTGTTTCTATATAGTAGTCACGCTAGATTACTTGATCACGTAAGAGACTAGAGTAAAAATATACGTATCAAATGGCCAATAATTTACAGAAAAATCAGAAGAGATAAAATATATGACGAGAAAGATTGTGCTTATCAACCATCGGGACAGCAAGATCTTTAACGAGCGACTTTCATCCTTATCTATTACACTTTTAAATACGATAATTGATAATAGAGATCGATCAAAAAACGTTCACACGAGCTGTATGTAAAATCCAATTACAAGCCTTATAACTAAAAAAATACAGTCCTTGTTACTGTTCTTAGGCCTGCCTATATAAACAATATTTTGCATACGTGTCTAGGTCAGATCAGTCTATTCAATGGCAAAAGATATGGATATCCGTAGAATCAGCTCGACGAGCTCGATCGTCTATGAATGTCAGTTTCCAATTTGCGAATGTTCGTGGATGTTCGCGTCGTTCACTGGTACTCCTGAACTAAGGACACTAACATATTGAATTCAGAGTTTTTCTGCATTGCTCACTGTGATGTGCACATTACATCAACAATCCATTGACGCTCTCTCGATACAGATAAATCGCAATGTTGAAAATTAATGTCAAAGTAGTCACGTTTTATGAACACTGAATATTTGGTATACAGTGAGAAACTCTCTCTATTATGTAGATGATATAATGAAACTGGAACATCAACATCTTGCATAATTCAATGTAAAGAATCAAAGGATGAAAACTGTAATAATAAATGATGTCGCCATTCTGTTAAATCAGCACCAAACTTCTTCAAAATTTTATAGATAGACAAAAGCGAGTCTAATTCACCAACGTTTTTATTAACAAAACTTTTTCAGAAGAGACCCAAAATTTATTTTGAAAAAATGCTTGCATAACGTCTTAGGGATAGATGAAACGAGATAGAGCAAAACATATGTGCAAGCTAAGAAAAATACACAAAAATGTTCTATACAGAATCATAAAGTGTTTAATTAATACATAGTCAAATTAGGAATCATAGTACACTGGTTCCAACACGAAAGATTTCGAAGAAACGGAGTATATTTGTTAAACATATATACCTTATTGAACAAAATAAATCCAATGTGGTATTCAAGATATCCTTAGCACATGATAGATTCTGATGAAACACTCGTACATTCTTATAATTCTGTTGAATTAAAAAAATTCAAACATTTGTAGTATGTATCAAGAGCTTTCGAATAGTATTTTATAGCTTTCGTACAGTTGCTTGAACGATGATAAAGGTCTCCCATATTACGCAGCGTTGTAACCGTACTCCATTGCGCTGCAACAGATGCGTGCTGATTGATACTGAGTGCATGCTTATGAAGTTCAAATGCAGTCTGATAATCACAAAAATTTCCATATGCGAGTCCTAAATTGCGATAGCTTTGAGCTAGAAGTATATGATCAAATGGTAGATATCTTTCTCGTATGTTCAATGAAGTCTTGAATAAACTAATAGTTTGTATATGATTACCCCACAATATATTAAGATAGCCATAATTATTTATACAAGAAGCGATTTGTAAATCATCAAATGAATCTTTTACATCGGCTTGCGCATATGTTTCTAAAACATGTTGACATGTAGTCATAATTTTATCAATATCATTTTGCTGCCATTGAATAATACAATCAATATGTCGAATGTATGCCCAATCGATTGCTTTATAGGCTATCCATGACAATTTTTGTCGATCTTTTGAAAGAGACTTGAGGTTTTTATAATTGGCATTACCCTGCTCATATCGTATTGTTTTTGAACAAACTCTATCATTTCCACACAACATCAATTGACATGAAGACATATTGCATGGCATTGTTCGAACTTGTTGTATACATGCAGGTTTTTCATTTGTCGCTATAAATCGACACAACCATGTATAATTTGACATATCGAATGTTAACATATCAACTCGAAATGTACTACCAATATCGAAAAGAACTTCGCTTTCTTCATCAAAATTACTCAGACCAGCAATGTCAGCAGCGATGACTGTAGGCGAACTCAAATCTACATAAATTTCAAGTAATAATGGTCGTGAATTTTCTGCTTGCCAATCGAATGGAGATGCATATGTTAATGCAATATCTTTATTTCGACTTGTCGACATGAAAGTCTTAACGGAAACGACAAGACCAACGAGGTCTCGTAATAAATTCAATTCTTCGTCAGATTGACGAATACCTCGATATAGGATAGTCATTCCTGCTTTTTCTAGTACTTTTTGTTGTTGATATTTTAATGTATGAAGTTGTGCACTCAAATCGGCAATATAAAAACGCAGTGCATAACATTTGTCAATATCTCCAGAGCGTAATATTTGATTCACACATCGATAAATAAACGATTCTTTTGTATACCAATAAATAGAATCTTCACGTCGATAGTTTTCTGCAAAATTACGAATATCTGCAAATCTGTTATTATTGGCGTAGAGTTGCAGACAAAAATCAAGCATGGTCGGTTTAGCTAGTGCACTTTCATGTATCGTTGAAAATACAGCTTGTAATAATCGTTCATAAGAATATGCAATTGGCTGTAATAATTGAAATTCAGTCGATAGACTTGGATTTATTTGAGTATATTTTTCAATTTTCTGATCAATATCACTTGTTCGATAAAAATCACGAAATAAATTCGTCGACTGTTTAGAAATACTTTCTTCATTACTCTTCTGTTTAGATGAGAAAACATGTCGAGAATGTCTTTGAAAATAGTTTTGTTCACATTCACAACAGTGCATAATAATCATCATTATTAAATAAATCAACAGATGCCATAGTTCCCAGTAAAGGCTTTCATCATCAACGTTTTCGTATTTTCTTTTTTTTTCTTGTATATAATATAATATATTTGTGTTTGATTTACGGCCATATGGCTGATTTTCGTAATTTTTATTGTCTTACGTTGCTCTAAATAACTCGAAATAGATAGGGCTCATAGCCTCTCATGTGTTAGATTATATTCAAACTGCATCATATTTGTGACGCAATAGACGCCCGATTTCTTTCGTAATTGCGAGTAGTACTTCAGTTACCAGAATAGCAGTGTAGTGACTAAAGAATATTGTCGAAAGTCATACAAAAGAATGCAAAGCATTTTAATATACTTCTGATCTAATAAGACTGCTTTGTACAACTGTAATGTAACAATGTAGAGAAAGTGAACTGCATTAATGGTTGAAAACAAGCTGATAGATAGTCTTTTTGGTATGATAAACCGTTTTATAGCTGTTTTTCCAGAAAATCATCAGAAAACAGACATGTTTATATGATATTATTGGCTTGTGTATACACAAATAAAGTAAATCAATCTGGGAAGTCGGTCATTTCGATTTTTACCATATATATATGTCGCAGGCTAATCTCGAATTCAAGAATGCACTAGTTCAATGCTGGATTGGGAAAGAAATTTTCATTAAAATCTACATAACCGTCTACATAGAAGTTGAATTGGACTTCTTATTGTTGAACTGTGTTGATACAATACCATTCCAGGTATTATAATCACTAATGATGAAATTATTTTTGGACTCAAACACTTATGGACAACTTTCCATAAAACCTTTTTCTTTGCAGAATCTTATCCATAACTTCATGCATCTGATTTTAATTTCTTCATTGTCGATTGTAAGACCTGAGATGCCATTATGGCAATATTGTTCATCAACAATAATTCTAATCCAATATCTATGTAGACGGTTACAGGGATTTTAATGAAAACTTCTTGCCCGATCTGGAATTGGACTAGTCCATTCTTTCATCCGAGATTGACCTAGACAAATCTTAGATGAACCGGAATCCAAGATGGGTGTGGGCGTTCTTGTTTCTATCACGTCTACACTCACACCCTTCTATCTACTCAATGTATCTAAAAGCCCTCTTCTAAGAGAATGTGAGTGCAAGACGCAGTTGTTTGCAGCACTTTCATTAATACCTATATCTTTCATCGATAAAAATATTTATGTATGACTCATTTAGCGTATGAAGTGTTAGCTTCGGTCTTTCTTGTAATACACTTGCATTCTAAACGTGCAACTAGCCGTTCGATTCGTCATATATTTTTCACTCGTTTCGCAACTTCGGTAAAGAAAAAGAAAAAGCCATGTCAACGTCAATCGGTTTCTTCATTATTCTTAGCAAACAAACATCAGGCAGTCTGTACTTCGAAAGGAGATATGCATTTAGATCTTTCCATAAAAATAATGCTTGTATCAGTAAGTGTTTCAATGCCAGCTGTCAGAAGTAAAAACGCTATTTTTGTGTTCGACTACATCGGTTTTATCTGCGACGCGCTTTTTTTGAGTTAAAAAAAACATCTTTTTCAACGCGTTTCAACGAGACATGTTTTTTTTATCCTCAATAAATACAATTTGAATGTTCGACGCATTTAGTGCATTTTTTAAAATGTGTTCTTACTGAATAGCGAGTTTTTCTTTCAGAAAAATTAAAATATTTATATATTTGTTGTCAGTGAAACCTGTTGCTCTTTTGACGAATATTTTGAAACATTAGATACAAAAGTATAATGTTTATAGAGATGGATTTCATGAATTTCTTTTAAGATCACTGAAGAGAGAAATAGTTACATAGCAGCAGGAGCAAGTACTGATGAATTAGAACGAGTCTAACTTGACTGAAAAGCATTCTTTGGACGAATTTGAAAAGATAGAGGTAAATTAATGTAAGGACAACAATTCAGTTAAGTTTTTTTCCGTGCAGAGATTAGGCATACAATGCCTTGTTTTAATTTTTAATAAAATTTCTAATAATCCATAGTTACAGTAACATTGTTATGATATGTTTAATTGATTCAAAGAAGTTAGATTTCAAAAGAATAAAATACTTTGTGTTTTGTACGGCCTTTGCAGTACTTGACTGTAGGGGTGTGAATTTATTGTTATTATTATTAATAACAATAACAAAAAAGTTATTGTTATCAATAACAAATAACAAAAAAAGTTATTTGTTATTAATAACAAAAAAATAACAAATAACTTTTTTTTCCGAAAAATCTTAGTTATGCTTTGTTACTATGTAACAGTATACCAGCTCTGTTTGCTCATTATTGTCCAATTACTCGATGATGTTACTAACCGCAATCTCCATTAGATAGCCTATGAAACTGAGAAAAATCCTAAAAAGATCTTTTCAAGTATCTTGCTCATCTATAGGCAAAATTTACTGATCGCTTTACGAGGAACGATTCCTCATTGCTCAATTGTCTTTGACTTGATGTGTTGGTCAAATATAAGCCTTTGGGAGATGTGAAAATGTCTAGAAAGATTGTACAGATCGTAACTCGAAAAATGGCACCTAGAATCTCATTTCGCAAAGACTTTTATTTGACCAAAACATCAAGTCAAAGACAATCGAACATTGAGGAATCGTTCCTGGTAAACCGATTAGTAAATTTTACCTGTAGGTGAGCAAGATACTTGAAAAGATCTTTTTAGGATTTTTCTCAGTTTCATAGGCTATCTAATGGAGATTGCGGTTAGTAACATCATCGAGCAACTGGACAATAATGAGCAAATAGAACTGGTATACTTTTACATAGTAACAAAGCATAACTAAGATTTTTCGGAAAAAAAAAGTTATTTGTTATTTTTTTGTTATTAATAACAAATAACTTTTTTTGTTATTTGTTATTGATAACAATAACTTTTTTTGTTATTGTTATTGTTATTAATAACAAAAAATAACAATAACTTCTCACCCCTACTTGACTGTACCGGTGGTCGTGAAAAGTTACTGGCTTTATTTCTTGTCATAGCTATAATTTACATAAAAATCTAATTAGAAAATAATGTATTTTAACAATCATAACTTCTTGCGTTCGTTTCAAATATAATTCACTAGTAATAAAAACGATAAAACTAACCTTTCATGCTAATTGTTTCTTTAGATATTTTATCCTTTGTCGATTTCATCAACAGTTTTGAGTGTGTTTGTGGGTGTGAGTATGGATATGGAAAGAGTGAAGATCCATAGTCACACGCACATTCAAAACTAAACTGTTTACTTATGAATGAAAGGCTGAATGGAGTGGTTATTATTCTCGTATTTTACTAAACCACTCTTCCATATTAGAAGCCCCCTGAGGCTTCTAAACTGTCCAAGAGTTCAAAACTTTTAGAGAGCTACTATTACGACTTTGATACAAAAATTTGAAAAAAAGTAGAATTTATGTTACGATAGGTTTTTTCTTAATTACGGTAGTCTATATGAATATTAAAAAAGAGTCCTTTGCGAGATCAATACCATTCAAATATCGAGTGTCAGAAAATGTTTCCATAGTTTTTTATTTTGCACATATCACAGGACGGATAAATGATAAAGCCTTGATTCTTTTTTTCAAAGCTGCGCCGTCGACAGTTCTATAAAATCTAGATAAAGAAATCTCCGTTGACTCTCTCTCATGTTTTTTTTTTATTACTAAATGGTTACTATCACCTGTGTTGATAATATTTGATCATATTGTTGTCTATATTCGTCCTCTTCTCCTTTGCGCCTTCTGTTTTTTTTTGTCGTCGTCTCTGATGTCTAGCCATTCTGTGTACATATTGGCAGATGTGTGCGTTTAACTTGAATGTTTTTCAAAAAATGAGAGGAATAAAGCGAAGAGAGGAGACAAACAAAAGTAGGACGGATATCGACAACAATGTGATCAAATATTATCAGCACAGATGATAACAACTGTTTAGTAAAGAAAATCATGGGAGAAAGTTAACAGAGATTTCTTTATCTAGAGTTTATAGAGCCGTCGACGGCGCATCTTTTTAAGAAAGGGATCAAGATTTTATTGTTTATCCATGCTAATATATATACCTAATAAGAAACATTTCCAAACATTTTTTTTATATTAATATGGTGGGAAGTAGCACTAGTATGTAGTTGTTTCATTTTGACTAGAGAAAAAATCATCAGAGCTTATTAGTGAGGATTTGTTCCGACATTATTTATAGAACTTTTCACGATGCATCTTTTAAGAAAAGAATCAAGATTTTAGCATCTATTCGTCCTCTGATATCATAGATGTCATAATACCATTACACTCGGTATCGAGAGCCAACCGTCAAAATACCCGCAGAGTAATCAAGTGTATTCACTTTCCCGATCTATAATTTACAAGCAGGAGTAATGACTTCAATACCCCTTACATAAACTATATATCGTATAAGTTGAGCGTTTTGAGTGGATTTGGTGTAACGACGTCGTTACCCCGGGGTAATACACCAAAACCACTCAAAACGTTCAACTTTTAGAATATATAGCCATTACACTTGGGGTAATACACCAAAACCACTCAAAACGCTCAACATTCTAGATATATAGTTCATATAAGGGTAATGAACACATTACCCATCAGATAACTATATATCCTAAAAGTTGAGCGTTTTGAGTGGATTTGGTGTAACGACCTCATTACCACAGGGTAATACACCAAAACCACTCACAACGGTCACCTTTTAGAATATATAGTCATTACACTTGGCGTAATAGACCAAAACCACTCAAAACGCTCAGCTTTAAAAAGTATATAGTTTCCATTGCACAGAGTGATGTCATTACCCTTGGGGTAACACACCAAAGCCACTCAAAACGCTCAATTTTACAAAGTATATAGTTTCTATTGCACACAGCGATGTCATTACACTTGGGGTAATACACCAAAACCACTCAAAACGCTCAAGTTTTAAAAGTATATAGTTTCCATGGCACAGAGTGATATCATTACCCTTGCGGCAATTGC